AACCCGTCTCTACTAAAAATACACAAATTAGCCGGGCGTGGTGGCGTGCGCCTGTGGTTCCAGCTACTCGGGAGGCTGAGGTGAAAGAATCTCTTGAACCCAGGAGACGGAGGTTGCAGTGAGCCGAGATTGAGCCACTGCACTCCAGCCCGGTGACAAAGCAAGACTCTGTCTCAAAAAAAAAAAAAAAAAAAAAAGAATGATTTATTTCAATCTGGAAAGGAGTGCAGAGGGAGGATTTAACAAAGTGTTTCAATAGTTTAGACAGTTTTTCTCAAAGTTTGTGAGTGAGAGCTAATGAAAATAATACAAAGACTGTGGCTCATTGAAGGAGCCTAGGACCTGGATCTCGGCATTTTAACCAAATTTCCTAGGTGATTTTGATTCACACCAGAGAGAGAGAGAGAGAGACAGAGAGAGATAAAGTGTGTGTGTGTGTGTGTATGTGTGTGCACGTGCATAGATATACTAGCTATATATTAATGCAAGTAACTAAAGATTATAGCATGAAGCACTTAGATTAGTTAGAAGTGTAAAAGAGGAAATGTGGGAAGATGTTCATACTCATTGAAATGGCTTGCTTGGGAACGGTATCAAGCAGTGGTTCTCAAACTTTAGTGTGTATCAGCATTGCTTGAAAGGCTGCTTAAAACACAAATGCAGACTTTGTAATTTACTAGGTCTGGGGTGAAGCCCTGGGATTTGCAACAAGTTCCCAGATGCTGCTGCTGGCCCAGGAGCTACACTCTTGAGACTATTGGTGTAGATAAGCACATTCGTTCTAAATCCTGGCTGTGCACTACAATAATCATCTGGGATGAGTTTTTAAATTATCATCGATGTTGGGGCCTCATCCCCAAGAGATTCTAATAGAATAGAATTTCAGTGGAGCCTGGGCATGGGTAGTTTGTAAAGTCCCCACTCCAGGTGTTTCTAATACGTAGTCAGGATTGAGAACCACTGGGGTTAAGGCTTCTGGAAAGCTAGGGAAGGAGTCCGGGCCAGGAGGGTCACATTAAGTACTGGGTTATCAGGTTTAATCACATTTGTCTGAGTCTCCTTTCCCAGAGGCAGGTGATGCAGTGCACTGAACTACCTTTCTAACATCCTTTTCCCACTCAGAATTGATATTCTACCTAGGAGGCTTTAAAAATGAATCTCCATGTTACACATCTAAAACAACAGTGTCGAGAAGACAGTTGATTTTTCCTTTCAGCAATGCTGCCCTCTAGTGTTCTTAATTATTCAAATAATGTAAAAACCCACCTCGGTTCTTTCCTGTTAGTAAGCTAAACAAATTTTTTTCTGATATATAATTAACATGGCAACATGAATCATGAAAACTTCAGCCTCTCAGTTCTCCTGCAATTTCTCCCTGCTTTTGATGTTGCAGCTCCTTCGAGGACAAGAACTCACAGAGGTCTCTTTTCCCAATTCCACCAAGCTTTTCTCTTCAGAGTCAAAAGCTAAGTGAGGAAAAAACTACCAGCAACAAAAAGACCTGGGGTATTGAAGTGCCTTGCAGAGGCTCTCCTCACCCTTTCTCATTTCTCCTACACATCTCACACCGTCTTTTTCACTTGGTTCACAGTTTATTAAGAATAGAATTCATCAAACAGGTGCTCCCATGTCTTCCCATGATGAGTTCTACAAACCTTCCAGGGTCCCATCATCTTGACAGAAGTGTCCTTCCCACCTCTAGAGGCTCTGCCCCTTCCCCATCTTCCTTTATCAAGTCTCTCTCTCCCACTTCCTTCCCAGACCCCAGTCCATTTCATCAATAACTCCCTCTTCCTAGGGCACTCACAATGGCACACAGGCTTACTCTTAATGTCCTGTGACCCTGAATACCCCTTCAGCTCCTGTCCTATTTCTCTTCCAAACTTATCGAATGCATTGTCTTCAAAACCTCCTCTTCTTCCAGTCATTCTTCCATTGAGTGGCTTCCATTGGCTCCAGCCTTGCTTGATCCCATCACATCACTGACACTGAAGCTGCTTTTCTCATGGTCTGCAGTGACCTCCCTACATGTGGCCAAATCCAATGGACACGGTTTTGGGCTGTTCTGAAACGAATGCCCATGGCCTTCTACCCTGTAGGCACAGCTCCCTCTTGAAGTGCCCTCTGCTCTTGGTCTGACACATCCCTGTGTGCCGGCTTCCCTCCTGCCCCTCTGGCTGCCAGCTACCCAGCATCTTTCATGGGTCCTCTCTCTAAACCCTGGGGCCGGCCATCAGAACCTTTTCTCTTTTCCCTCTATAGACTGTCCTTACTGGGCTCATCCATCCTCATGAAATATAATAGACTAGTAACTAATAAATATGTATACCACCTCTGGCCCAGATTGCTCAGTCTCATTTATCCAACTATTAAATGTCCACTCAACATCTCCCCTTTAGTATCGCACATGCATCTCCATTTTTCACATGTCCAAAGAACTCTTGATTTTCCTCCCAAATCTGTTCTTCCTTCAGTCTCCCTTATCTCTATAAACAGCCAAATATCTGGGAAACAGCTTTAATTCCTCCCTTTCCCTGACCACACTCAGTCCATCTGTAAGTACTGTGGATTCTGTCTCCAACTTATATTTTGAATCCATCCACCTCTCTCTATATTTGCTACCACTAACCTATTACAAACCATCCTCATCGCCTGCCTAGAATACAGCAATACTTTGTCAAGCTCTTCCTACTTCCTCCAGTCCTCCCTGTTACTACTGATTCTCCACAGCACAGAGTGTTCTGAAATGCAAACTATAGTCTACCATCCCCTTGCCTGATAAAATGCTAATGACTTCATTAAACCTTGAATAACATACAAATGACATGGTTTGCCCTCTGCCAACTTTATCTGGTACCCCTGTCCTCCTCCCCGCCACCCCATTGCTGAAACTCAGTAAGTTCTGTCCTAATACAAGGCCTAGACACATGCTGTGCCATCTGCCTTGAATGCTCTTCCACTATTCTTCACATGGATGGCTCCTTTTTAATTTTTTATGCCTAAACATGATTACTATTTAGTGAGACCTTCCTTACTCTACTAATAGGTCTTGTCTTTCATTTCCTGTCCCAGTCCCCTAAGTTATTTTCTTCGTAACACTACATTTGATAATGACTTACCTGTTTCCTTCTCCACACAACTCTAAACTCCATGAGTCCAGGAACTTGGTGTCTGTTTTACTCACAGATGAACCCAGCAACTAGCACAGTGACTGGCAAATACTAGGCTTTTAATTCCTGTGTGTTGTATAATTGACTGAATGTGCAGTAAGGGTCACAACTTTCATTCCATCTTCACTGCTCTTGTCAAGGACTCCCACGTGCCCAAGCCTCCTGTCAGCATTCTGTGCTTGTCTTACTTGGTGACAGGGACAGAGTTAAGGGAGAGGCCAGGTCCAGTTTCTTCTCTGTTAACCTATTCTGTGTTTACCAGCATGTTTGATTCACCACAGTATCTACAGCACCCAGAACAGCAGACACCTTGTAGATACTGTTGATTGGCTGAACTCCCAGCTCTGAATGACACAGGATGTGAAGGGAAAGGAAAGGAAGCTGGTGCAGTGATGGTGACATCCAAAGAGAGAATCCATCCGGGGCAGAGATTCATATCATTGTTTTCAACTTCTAGAAATGTTTATCATAGGCACACATCTCCATTTGTATAACAAAAGAAAATTAAACCAGTTCCTTACACTTTTTAAATCACATATGTTTTATAAATGGAGAATGAACTTCATGGTTTTAATTGATGGGCAATAATTTGACATTCTAGAGTCTTTCTCCAAGAAAGAAAACTATTTTGCTTATAAGCCAGCTTTAACATCTTAGATACACAATGGTGAATGAAAGTATTCCTATTTTCCAAACGAAGAAATCAAGGGCAAATAAAAATAGTTTATACAAGCCAAATAAGCAAAGAAGCTAAGACCCTGACTCTGGCCATTTCATTCCAAATCCTGTTCTCAATCAATTTAGACAGTATCTGCTCATGAAAAATTTTTTTAAAAAGTACATCTACTGCAACTCTACTTTGAGACAAGGATTTGGTTCTTCTGAAGGGCACTTAACTGACTGGTATTACTGAGAAATAGAAAAGCCCAAGTCCTGCGACTTTTTGAAAATGTCAAGTGATGACCTGGCATCCTGAGTATTTAACCGACCTGCTTTGTAGAAGAAATCCAACCCTGTCTGTGAATTTTCACTAAATTAAAGCTCTCTTGTTCTGCAACATATCTGGCTGGTGCCAAGAGGATTTGCTCAGCTCCATCCTCTGGGGAAGGATTTCATTTTCCTGTATAGAAAACATGATGTCGAGCTGCATGAGGCTGATGAGCACACTGGGTGGGACCACAAACAGGCCCCAATGAAATCAATTATGTGGGTGTCTTAGGACAAAATTTGGTTCACAGTGATCAAGGACAGGGTGTGTCACGGCAAGCTGTCAACCACTGTGGCTTCAGCTGTTTGTTCAGCATTTAATATGTTTATCTTTCTGCTAAACACACTGTTGTTGAGTCACGTCTATTAGAGACCCATTCTGTGTGAGGCCCAGCTCTGCAAGTCCAATATACAAAGAGAAGCCTTTCGCCCTCCATGACTTTATCTTCTACAAAGTCAAAACAAATGCTTTCTCTTACTTCTCACTTTAGTGAGAAAGGTACCCAGGCTCTTAAAAAGGTGAATCAAGTATTCTTTATTAGGCCAGGAGCTGTCAAGCAATAAAATTAAAAGAAGAACTTAAAGTGGTCATTATGTTTTTAGTATCATTTCGTGTTGTTGCTATAAATGGAAAAAGGAATGTCAGTTTACCCGAAAGTACCGTCAGCCTCCAAACCATTAGTATTTCATGTCAGACTCTAATGTTGTCACCAATATCAGACTAACTTTATTAATCAAACGAATGATTACATTAAGCTTCTAAGCTTTGGATAGGGGGTAAAAATCACATAATTCTGAAATGTAGATGAATTCATGAAATGCTATCTGTTTGACCTTCCATAGAAATTGTTCGAGCCATGACACATGTGATAAACCAAGGCATGGCGATGTACTGGGGCACCTCGAGGTGGAGTGCTATGGAGATCATGGTAATTTAATTTCTATGTTTAAGTGGCTATTGAATAGCTTATTATTGCTTTGCAGATGCCATGCATAAATTGTAAGATCGTTTGCAAACTTTTCTCCCAATCACTATGGTACTAGAATTCTAGAATCAATTCCATCATTATAGAGATGGATATTGGCGCCAGAGCTCATCCATTCAGAATACAAGAGAGAATACAGCATTCTCTGGTGGCAAGGCAGTAAAGTGAATTTCACAGCTAATGAGATATATTAACAGAGTATTCTAGTTTCCTTGTAAAAAACTGTATTAACTATACTGTTTATATCAAACTAGTTATATAGATACTTTTATATGTTAGTCTAAGCCTTATTTCCTTAGAAACTTAAAAATAATTAAACCACATTTACTTTATCATAGTCTATAATTCACACTTTGACTAATTTGCCCTAGACTTAACTCAGTCCAAACTCTCCCAAAGACTTGATAAGGATTTCCTATATTTCATATTGCTCTTACTGATATTGGTGGTGACAACTTTGCTTATTATTTGGCATCCTACATGTTTCTTGGTTTGTACCGATTTCACCAAAGTAAACATTTCTCATGCATACAAATTACAGCGAAGCTTATTTTTCTCATAAATATAAATTCTCATTCCTCTCTAGGAAGCCTATTCTGTGGCAAGACAATTCAACATGATCCCACCAGTCTGTGAACAAGCTGAGTACCATCTTTTCCAGAGAGAGAAAGTGGAGGTCCAGCTGCCAGAACTCTACCACAAAATAGGTAATCTTCAAAATGAAAGCTACTGAGTATTTTTAACAATAGGAAGATCACTGATTCTGGGGGAGGAAATAAAAACAGTGTTACTGAAATGCTTTCCTAAATGTCTGTAATTAACATAGTACATTCCAGAGACTGTAGCAGAATCAAGATGTGTCTGCATTTAGTGTATAGGGTATCACTGATGAAAGCCAAGCAGAGTTGTAAACGGTTTAAGCTGTACTTAGCAGGTGTTAAACAAATGCCTACTGAATTAAGGGAAGAATCAATACATAAATTCATTTCCATTGGTGCTTGCTCTAGCACAATGCATCTCTGAGTAGACAGTGACTACCTTTCCAAAAAATCATGGATATATACATCTATATCTGCTACACTGGGCCTGGCACTGAGTTAGATATGGAAAATTCAACAACTAACAAGTCGGGCATTATACGTCTGTGCAGATAGAAGTAATGCCTTCAGAGAGAGGGGAAATATATATATAACATATACACAAGAAATTTAGACATTAGAAAAACATGAATAAGCCACATTCTCAGGCTTACTTATCAAACGTTTTCAGAAATAACATTCTTCCTGAGAAACAGAGGTTCATATGAGCAGGAAAATGCTGGGAAAAAGAGAAAAATTCAACAACAACCATAATAATTGTTATTATTGCTCTAATTTATTGAGTGTTTACTGTGTACTAGGTGTGTGCTCCTGCTGTGTACCATGCACTATGTCAGGCACTAAATGGACAAGGACAACAAAAATTCATGGATGAGCCACATATTTTTCAGGCTTCTTTATATGTCCCACTCCCAGGAACTGACAGTCCTTGTTTCATTGGTTGATTAAAGAATGAAACACAATCTGTAAGCTCCTTAATTGTAATGGAAAAATGCATGCTGATATTAACTCATTTATCTGGCCAGCTTTTCCCTATAACCTACCAAATTTTGTTTAAACACCCCCCATCCTTTTGATTCCAATTTGCACAAGCAACTTTCTAAGTTTTTTCTTCTGTAGGGGTTGGCGCAATGACATGGTCTCCACTTGCCTGTGGAATCATCTCAGGAAAATACGGAAATGGGGTGCCTGAAAGTTCCAGGGCTTCACTGAAGGTATTTTTTCTCAATGTCTAGAAAAAAGCCTGAGGGTAGGAGGGAGGGTAAAAGATTGATAATAACAGCTCTGCAGCAGCCTAGGGCTTCCCAGCTCAGGCAGACTGCGTTGTCCAAGCCCGGAGCCTTCTGGAGGTCTTCACGCCTGGCCACGTATCACTCAGCCCTTCATAATCTGCCTGTGTCAAATATTCTTTCTCTGGGGACAGGGGAAAAAGTGCCCAATGACCTGATTGGACTTGTAGGGCTCAAATCCCTACACTGTTATTTATTCTTATATTAAAGAAAACATTCCATCATTTGAAACTGATAAAATGTAAAATCCCCTTTCTATATAAGAGGATCCTTGTATTAATTCCTTTTCTTGACAAAACAAAATGTAAGCCATAGAGGCTTAATCCATATGAAGCCAACAGTTGTAGCTGAGTATGGTTGACATTTCTATTGTGTGCTGGGGAAAGTAGGTTAGAAGGGAAGACTTCAGGAGACAGATACATAGCAAAACTTCTATCACTTAAGGCAGCTTAAATTCTGCTCTGAAGCAAAAAGATATTCAAGACCATTGACACAAAATTACCTCCATTCAGGATATCTTGATGACTAATTTATTGGAGAGTACTCCAAACATCTTTCCTTATTAATAACAACATGCTTGTTTTTCAAAACTTGGTAGAATGTGTAATAACATTAGAATCACAAATTACTCTGTAATGTCAAGGGAGAGAGAATATAGGCATTTAAAAAATTCAGACAAACCAGAGTCCTTCAAGAGGAAGTACAGGCCTGACACATTCTCTTGCCTCCATCAGCACTAAATTATTGGAAAAACAGCTCAAGTCTGAACCACCAATGCTTTAATCATTGTGGCTGTGGCCACCATGAGCTCCCCTAATCAGAACATTTTCAAGGTTCTAGGTCTTTGACTTTCCTTTCTGTCTGTAACAGTTGAGCTTTTGCTTGTTTGTTCTCTAAAATAATACAACACAAATATCTCCTAAAGCATGATGATATGGTCCTATTTCTAGTTTTTGTATTATTACAAAAAAACAATTATCCCAAAATAAGGTCTTGCTTCTGAAAATTAAAGATTGTTCTGAAACAAGTCTAAACAAGTCAACAAAGACAGACTAAAAGCATCCTAGGAAAGAAGGTATAAAAGGAGGAAGGCAAGAAGGGAGTGAAGAAGGAGAAAAATTAAAGAATGGAAGCACGGAGAATTACAGTTTTACTGAGTACTTACTATGTGCCAAGCACTGAGCTAAGTGTTTTCATTCATCAACTTTTATTCTCACTAAGAGAATGGATACAGGTGACTTTTCATCAGCTGAGCTAAGCATGTTGCCGTATGTTCTTTCAGAGGCTTGCTGAAAAATTCAAAGCACTTCTGTATATGCTGAGTGTCTGTACTCACAGTAACCTGCTGAGAGGTAGACCCTTTTCAGATGCAGAAACTAAAACACAAAGACCTTAAATAACAATCCAAGACCATAAACTCATAACAGAAAAGGTTGATATTAGAACCCAGGTTTCCTGGCTCTTAGTTAATTCTCTCCCTCAAAGACATCTTTATTTCCCTTTAAATCCAGGTTTTTAAAGGAGGAAGAAATAGCTATGCTGTATTTGGAGGGCATGATTGTCTAACATCCATCACTGTTTGAAAAAATCTTGCAAACAGCTGAAAAGGCTTTCACAAATTCACTAGTGAAAGAAAAAAGAAGAAGAAGAAAAAAAGAAAGAGTGACAAAATGTTTGAAGGTGGCTAAACCCAAAAGCAGCTTGGGAAATATTTCTATTGCTGACTTTAATAAAGTCAACTCTGTATCTACTGGAACATCCTTAACAATAAACATTAAGAGCTCTCAACAGATAAAAGGTGGCTGATCACGAAGTATGCTTCTTTAGAGCTCTGCAGGTTCTCAAGGCTCTACATTATCAACCTGAGTGCTTTTGCAGTAATATATGTGCACTTAGGAGAGCCACTTCAGTACAGTTACCAGAGAAAAATAAAAATAAAAATAAAAAAAGTAAAGGAAGCAAATATCAGAGCAACCTTAGCAGTGAATAAGGATGCCATGAAAGAAAGAAAGAAAAAGCAAAAGGAAGGAAGGAAGGGAGGGAGGGAGGAAGGGGAGGGGAGGGGAGGGAGGGAGGGAGGGAAGGAGGGAGGGAGGAAGGAAAGAAGGGAGGTTGGTTAAATTAAAAGATAGATAATCTGGGCAAGTAGATAAATAAGTTGGTAACATTCATCTCACCCTAAAAGAGAATAAGTAGTTTGTGTTTCACATTGGCTATTGTTATACTGATAAGATTAAGATGTTAATATGTTGCATCTGTTGTAGTATTGAACAGACAATGAAGGATAAATTAACTCAGCATGAAAAATACCTATCTAGGGCTCTTTTGGAAAGTAACACTACCCAGGGGATTTTCTGGGCTCCCTCATCTGCCCCCACTACTCTAACGATGATTTCTAAATTTGTGTTATCAGCTCTGACTTCACTGCAGAGCTGCATAGCACTCCTTCTTTGTGTCTATTAGACATCTCCAAGTGGAAGTCCCATGGGCATCAGTCATGCCTAATGGAATCTATCCTCACCCCCAGAACCTGCCATTCCTTCTTGCTTAACAGTGCCTCCACCCATCCGTCTAGTTAGTCAGAAGCCAAAGCATTATCTCAGACTGCCTCCTTTCCTTCCGTATTACTGTTCAACAAGGCACCAAATCTTCCAGACTCTATCTTGACTCTAAGGTCCATTTTGTGCACAGCCCTTGTTTAGATCGTCATCATTTCTTACCACATTTACTGGAGTAGCCTCCTATCTGGGCTCTGATTTCCTCCCCTTTTCTCAACAACCCACCACTGTGACCACTTAATCTTTCTAAAATATTAATTTGACCATATCATCATCCTGCTTAAAATCCTTTAATGATTTCTCAATCATTGGTTATAGGACAAAGCCATAACTTCACAATAAAGCATGCAAGGAAATTTCCTTGGGATGTAAGTTGAGCCTTTTTCCATTTGCGTCTCCTGTTATCATACTACTACATTTTCCATGCAAGTGCACTGTACTCTCCTTTGCCTCCCAGAAATGTCCTTCTTTTCATTCTCCTGCAGAATCCCTTATTCCTAAAGACAAAGCTTGGATGTCTTCATCTGTATGAAGACTGTCCTAACTTTATAAAACTGAGCTATTTGTACCTTCTCTATTATTCTATGCATACTTGTTACAGAGTCTTCTAATTCTCTGGTTGCAAGTAACAAAACTCAATGAAAACTAATCTGATCAGAGAATGGGAACTCCATTGTTCACAAAGACAATCCTTGGGAAGTACGGAGTGGCCTCAGTAGTGCCTCCATCCATGGACTTGTACCTTGTCAGGACTTTCGCCTCCTCTATTTCTCTCTGCATGTGGGTATTATTTTCTTCTACTAAAATCGGTCTTCATGAGGCCAGGAGCAGGAAAGCTGGTGGGTGCAGACTTACATTTCTAAAGGCATGTAACCTAAGATAAAAGTGATCTTTTCTTTACCAACTTCAGTCCAGAGAAGACTGGCCAAGCTTAGGTCCTGTGCCAACTTGTGAGACTAATGACAGTGGCCAAAAGGATAAGTTACTATGATCAGCTCAGGTTATGCACCACGTTATCATGGCATATCCCATTAGAAAGCAGTACAAACATAGATTGTAAGGAAATCATTGACAGGGTGGAACACTAACAACAACAACAACAAAAACACTTCCCCAGTTACTAGGAAATCATTTGTGAATACATCTAGGACAGAAACAGAAACCTGCTCATCTGACTCATCACAGAGCCTGATGAGTACACAAGAGGTACTTAAGTCTTTGTTAAATTAATTTGATGAGCCATAATAAGATTAATAAAGTCTGATAAAGAGACCAGGTGTATAAGTTTTAAATAGAAATAAATAGTGCAATAAAATTTACTGGCAGCTCCTCCCTGTTGTTGGCAAAATGCTTTCTAGAAAACTTACAGGCCAGGCATGGTGGCTCATATCTGTAATTCAAGCACTTTGGGAGGTGGAGGTGCGCAGATCGCTTGAGCCCAGGAGTTCAAGACCAGCTTGGGCAATATGGCAGAACCCCACCTCTACAAAAATACAAAACATTAGCCAGATATCATGTCCACCTGTAGTCTCAAATACTCAGGAGGCTGAGGTGGAAGGATCACTTGAGCCTGGGAGGTTGAGTCTGCAGTGAGCTGAGATGATGCCACTTCCCTCTGGCCGGAGCAATACAGTGAGACCCTATTTCAAAAAAAATTATAAAAATATGTACTCCTCTGTCAAAGAAAAATAGGAAGCATGCACACCTTGATGAATCAAAGTTGGGAGAGAAAGGTGGTCCAAATACGTCAAGTGTTCATATTAAGAAACTAAACATACTGTACATTATGGTGAAATTTCAGAAGGCAGGTTTTCAGCTCTAGCATTTTACCTGGAGATCTCAACCTCAATAGTGACTTTGTTTTTGTTCTGAGTCAAAGACTGATGTTTTAGTAGAAATAGTTAACAATCTTGGATGCTAAATTATTCTAGACAAGGTTCAGAACTGAAATGTGACTGATTCTGTCCATGGCTACAGTTTCAGCCTGAGTTCAATCCAAGATTAACTAACAACTAATTAGGGATGTGAGGCAAGTCTCACAGACTATTCTCACCCCAATATCAACATGTATGAAATGGGGACATATAAAATCATCATGGTATTGGGAGAGGGCAAAGAAATAGGCTTTAGGAAAATTTAGAGTTTTGTAATATGCATAAAACTAATAGCCAACTAATCTGTGGAGAAAAGCTCATTCAATTATCTCACTGATAAATATTTACTCAGTGTACCCAGACTTTGTGCTGGGTAGAGGATACAGGAATGAATGGACAGTCTCAACCCTCTAGGAGTAGCTCCAGGACTTGTAAGAGGGACAGACATATGAAGGGGTGAATTATGAAATAATATGGTATCCACAAGCCCTGTGGAGTCCCACAGGACTGCTGGCAGAGTCACACTGCTTTGAGAAGGAGGTGTCATGATAAATCTGAAAAACGGGAAGAGATTTATTTTGACCCCAGGAAACTCTGGTTTCTCCGACTCCTCCCTGACCACTGTATTGGTTGAGCCCCTTCTCCTTGCCAGCCACAAGTGTCAGAACTGGAGATGCTGACACGAACAACAAGCCATCCCTGCCTTCTACCTGCTCGATTTAGCAAGACCAACAGGCAATCAAATCATTGCAGTGCAGTGGGGTGTTAGAATAGGATTGGATGAGGAGATTTCACCTTTTGATTCATGGATTACTGCCCAGGCAGCAAGCAGGGTTTATTACTGCCACAACCACACTCACCTCTAACCTTCCTACAAAACACACTTGTTTGCTTCCATATTTAATCAATATTTTAATTAAGCCTCATCACCTGTCTCCACTCACATTTTCTCATTTGTAAAGCAGTTAAAGCTGTTTATTCCCAAAACACTTTTGTTTCCTTTGGTATGAGGAAAGCAGTATTAAAACTCTGCATCTACTTTTGAAAAATCTTAATCTGCTTATATTTCCATAGCTTAAAGCAACAATGAGACTAACAGTGTTGAGGGTGGGGAGATGGGGACTCAATAAATAAATGCTCGATTATTTTTTTTACTTTTGGAAGTCTGTCTCTGAAAATGGCATGTGTGTATAACACACATACACACACACACACACACACACACACACACACACACACACATAACTTGCAACCCAAGCCTAAGAAAGAGAATGTGCTGCATATAAGATTTAAAAAATGGAAGAGTTACAAAAGATTGATAAAACAACCACTCTACATGTCTGATACATACTGAAACTCAGAAATTCTCCTAATACTAATAAAAAGCAATTGTTCACAAAGCAGTTGGCTATTAGTTTTCAATCTTTGTTAGTCTGTTTGAAAACACTCAGATATTGGTCCCCTGAAAGATGTGACAAAACTTAAGTGAGGATTGGTGTTTTTCCCACTGAGGACAGCAAAAGTTAGTTCAGGGACTCTGACATAAGACAGCACTCGGGTGCAGGAAGTCTGCCCAGGCCCCAAGGCAGTGCCCATTGTTCACAGTGTCGGCCTCATCACTACTGGCACCAATTGTCATCTCTGGAGAGATGTTCCAGGCCACCCTTCTTTTTGAAGAAGCTGAGGCTTCCCAGAGCTAAGGCCGGGAAAATGTTAGCCATCTCCCCAAGCAGACTACCAAGTTAGGAGCCAGACCATAAGCCTTTGAGATTTAGAAGGCAAAACTGGGGCGGCTTGCCCTTCTCTTTTTCTCATTGGCAAAATAACTCAAAAAATCATAATAAAACATAATATGGTTACCCTTTTCTTTGGAAATACTGTCTTAGAATGATGAAAAAATGCTCAAAAAACAAAAGCCTGTAGCCTATTGAAATCCTGTGGGTGGAGTGTCTATGGCCCACTGCCTATTACAGAGCATTCTGTGCCTCTGGAAAGACAAAGATCCGAAATGGCGATTATGTCACAAATACACGCAAGAGAAAAAGTCCACATTGCCACACAGTGTGATAGTTTTTAATTATTTTCCCTAAAACAGACTAACACTCTTACACATATTCTTTTCCTCTGGGTGTTGCTGCTTACTACTCACTTTATATAGAAGAGTCTGTTATTCCCTTTCTCATAGGAAAAGCAGAATCTTCTGAAAAGTAGGGCATTGAGAAATTCTAAAAGATTTTTCTCTTTATATTTACGAGATTAGGTTCATTTTTGCAGTCTACGGATCAGGGTCATTTCTTCTCATTGGCTTAAAAGAATAGTTTCCTGTTTTGTGTTTCTTTACTTTTTCAAGTTTCAGTAGTTATACAATAGGTAATAACATTCGGCAAAGTCTTTATCCACTTAAAAAGTTTTTAAATCTTCTTGGTATCTATCAGTTATGCCACATCTGCTTCTAGGAAGGAGCTGCAGAAGCTAACAACAAAGCCTTATTATAAAAACAATAAGAGATTAGCAGTGAATTGAAGGCAAGGGGGAGAAAAATAATTAAACAAGAATATAAAACTATGGTTTTCTTTGAGCAGAAAGCTTGGCACCCAGCTTTCTTAATAAAAAGGAGACATAATAGATCTTGGTAAAATGTAAATGTGCTTTTTTTGGCGCTACATTCTAGAATTGGGCTATCCCAATAAGAAATATTATTTCTTCCATTGGGCAGGCTAGGATATAATTGGTTATATGTCAGGGTCAGGGTTTTAACAACTTTCATGCATGCTGATCAATTTGAGTGGTGAATATTAGTCAAAATCGATCTGTCTTGAACTGATAAGTAGCAAGATCATGAGGAACATTTCTTTGCATGAAATCATCCTTGTCAGTCTGAATCATAAGGGTCAAAAAATTCAAGAAATCATCATGAGGTTCATATATTTTATTGAATTACCATTCTTTGACATCAAATCTTTACCAGACATTTACATGTTATGCTTTTCCCCAGTGCTACCAGTGGTTGAAAGAAAGAATTATAAGTGAAGAAGGGAGAAAACAGCAAAACAAGCTAAAGGACCTTTCCCCAATTGCAGAGCGTCTGGGATGTACACTACCTCAGCTAGCTGTTGGTAAGAAAATTACTAAACTATGAGGTTGTAGGGGGACTTCTGCTGAGATCTTAGTTTTCTAGTGCTGACCACACCCTTACCATGATAAAATGTCTATTGACAGACTGAGCTCTGAAGCATAAACTCCTGCTAAATACTCTATAAAGTGAGGTACTTGAGGTTCCTCAGAATTTTCTACACGATAAAAAATTTTTCTTTCCCCTTGCCTGTATAACACAGTTTAAATGAGAACATGTCAGTGATAACACATACACTATCACAGGTGTTAGGGGTAAACTGTGTAGTGACATCCATTTCTTCTGGCTCAAGTTTCTGTCTCTGTGGAAAACTAAGCCAGGGTTGGTGAGAGGCTGACACGGCTGTGACAGGCCCAAGGCTGCTGCCACATGAAAAGCTGATCCAAGAGAAATAGCTTCACCCTGAAACTTCTTGAAGGCCATAACATTTGCTTTTCTAATGCTGGAGTCCATGAAAGGTCATGATTACTGGTAGCAATTGAAAACCACATGCACTGTTTAAGAGAAAGATAATAGAAACCACATATAATCATGGGTGTTTCAGTCAATGATGGACCACATATATGTAGGTGGCCCCATAAGATTATAATGGAGCTGAAAAATTACTATTGACTAGTGATATAGCTGTCCTAAGGTCCTAATGCAATGAATTACTTATGTGTTTGTGGTGATGCTGGTATAAACAAGCCTACTGCACTGCCAGTAATATAAAAGTCTACACAATAATTATGTACAGTACATAATATTTGATAATGATAATAAATGACCATGTTACTGGTTTATATATTTACCATACTATAATTTTCATCTTTACTTTAGAATGTTCTCTTTCTACTTACTAGGAAAAAAAAGTTAACTGTAAAACAGTCTCATGCAGGCCCTTTAGGAGGTATTCCCGAAAGAGGAATTATTATCACAGATGATGGCTCCTTGGGTGTTACTGCCCCTGAAGATTTTCCGGAGGAACAAGAAGTGGAGATGGAACACAGGGAATTACTTTAGGAGCAGACAATACCTTTGGGGAATCTCAAATGATAAGCAGATATTAGCGAGGCAAAAAGAAAGGGGAAGGCAAAAGGACATTTCAGGCAAAAGGAACAGCTTGAGCAGTGTGCTCCAGAAGGAAGGGAGAGAGAGAGGAGAAAAGCAGCATGATGCTTGGGGATGGAGAGGATTTAAAGACAGGTGAGTGCTTCTGAAGCAAAGTTCAAGGTAGGGAGCCATGAAACTGCAGAGGTAGGCTAGAAAATAAGGTTTGCCAGGGTAAGAATTAAGAACCTCATCTTACAGGACAATGATTCAGTCAGGCACTAGCTAGGGAAGTGACATGATCAGATTTTTGCTTAGAGAAACCTTTACTGGCTGGATGAGAGCTGTATGAGGGAAATATAAGGGGACAATTCAAGCAAGGGAGGAAAACCAGTTATGCAGGAGAGAGATGGTGAGGGTGTGAGTGAGGGCAGCAGTGACTAAGGTAGAGAAGACAGCTGACCCAAAGCGATCATTGTCAAACTAAGCCCTGTATCCACACAATGAAATACTCTTCAGCAACAAAAAGAAATGGTATATTGGTACATGCTGCAATATGGAAAAACCTAGAAAAAATATGCTAAGTGAAAATCAGAACAAACAACCACCTATTGTATGATTCCATTTAGATGAAATGTCCAGAAAAGACCAATCTGAAGACAAAAAGTAGATCAGTGTTTGCCTTCAACTTGAGGTAGGGATCTTATTAGGGTGACAGAAATGTTATAAAACTGGATTAAAATGAAGGTTGCACATTAAAAATGGTGGTTGGTAAACTTATAAAAATTATTTAATGTACACTTAAAATGGGTAAATTTTTGATGGGTAAATTTACCTCAATAAAGTTGGTTTAAAAAAAAAAGCATGGTCCCAGATGAGCAGTATCAGCATAAGCATTACCTGGGAGTGTGTTAAAAAATGCACAGACCGCACCCCAGACCTTCTGAATCAGAAACTCAGGAGTGAGCCACGACAATGGATGTTTCACAGGCCCTCTGAATGATTCTGATGCATACCAAAGTTTGAAAACCACTTGATTAGAGGAATATTTAGGAGGAATAATCAACTGGACTTAGCAGTTAAAAGGGAAAAAGAGGGTCAGAAAAGGACAGTTCTTAAAGATTACTCCCAGGTTTCCAGATTGGGAAGCCACATTGCTGGTGATGCCCCCAAGTGCAATTGGGAATGCAAGAGGGCCAGGCATCATAGCAAGAAGTTTGCAGAGCCTGTGAGGCATCTAGCAGCGAGGCTTAGCAGACACTGCATCTAAAAGTCTGCAGCAACACTAACTTTCAGGCAGCTAAGGACTCAGAAGTCCACTGTAACCACCAGGAGGCTCCTGGTGACCTTGGCTTCTGGACAGAGCAAGAAAGTGACTGGAATGTGAAGAAGGTCAGTAAGGGAATCTGAACTGACCTTTTAGAAGTTAAGAGGGGAAGAAGGTTGGGGCAGTATCTAGGCAGGTATAAAGGGTCAGAGGAAGCTTATTTTAGAATGGGAGAAATTTTAGCATGTTTTGTTGACATGCTAAAATGTATATATTTTCTATATACATTAGGACAGGGTCATCCACTGTAAGGGACAGGGGTTGATTAGATGGTTTAATAGTACAGGTTTAAGGTCATTTCAGGAAAAGAAAGGAGATGACCAAGGCCAAGAGTAAGGCTGGCCAAGCTGACTGAAGCCCAGCTGGGAGAGAAGATGTGAATGCATACAGGCACCAGACCATGAATTGTAAGATTCTCTCCAGCATGCTCAGCTGCCCACAAGTAGGAGCAAGTAGAAGCCAAAAACACAGATGCAGTACTGATGGGAATTGCTAAGGAAGCAGAGGAAGTGAGAGGTATAAGGGTTTGTAAGAGAGTAATTTAGATAATCAACACAGGATGAATCTTGCGTTAGGAAGAAAGGGAGGTCCAGGGAGTGCTGCCAGGTAGGTGGGAACGAAGGAACCAGAAAATCAGAGTCTACAAGGACTACAAGCAACAGATGAGGAAAAGTGAGACCATGAATACAATGGGAAGACAGGAGGTTGTGGGCCAACGTAGAAACAGGAATCCAGCCATCTGGTGGTGAGCAGTGTTAGCTGTTTTCAGAAATAACAGGAATAACAATGTGTTTCTAGGGTTGGTAGCTGGATTGAATCCCCAGTGTGGTGACAGGGTTTTATGTGGAAAGCAAAAAGGCTTTCAGCTCTGAGCATTGAGTGTTAACTAAGAGACATATAGTGCGCTAGGAATTGGAAAACCAGTGGAGAAGCAAGAAAGACAGTACTGCATCTGTGTTTTCTGCTTCTACTTGAGGGCAGCTGAGCATGCTGGAGAGAATCTTACAATCCATGGTCCAGTGCCTCTATGCATTCCCATCTCCCCTCCCAGCTGGACTTTCACAGATTCTGTCAAATCTACACAACAGGGAGTGCTGCTCAGGTTTTTAACCCTAGAAAGCACTGTACATCCTCCACAAAAGGAGTTAATAAATTTTGGCTGCAACAAACAGCTGTACCTGGTGTTTATAAGCTAATCAATGATGGGAAGTGCTTTGATAACCTGACCCAGTTTCCTCTTTTCCCAGCGTGGTGCCTAAGAAATGAAGGTGTGAGTTCTGTGCTCCTGGGATCATCCACTCCTGAACAACTCATTGAAAACCTTGGTGCCATTCAGGCAAGTATTGCAGACCCTTCCAACAAACACCAGGGAATTTAATGGTGCCTTTGAGGCTATTTCCAGGCAGTGTCCCATCTCTCCCTTTATCCTTCTGGATGGGGCAAGTGTAGGGGGAACAAAGGCAACAGAACACTTTCCCAGTACAAGGATCCAGGGTTGTACTCTGCCTATTAACAGGAAGTGTTCCCAAAGCTCATTCTCAGGATGGTTTGTTTCTGTGGAAAAGTACATTCCAATGTTATGCCTGGCAACATTGGATGGTAGCAGTGGGTGGGGTGAAAAGGATGTTTCTAGGAGCTCTAAGGAGAGGGGTGGGGCTTAGTATCCATTGTGACCACCTCCTTTCCCCAAAGGCCACAACTAGTCCTGAGTCTGTCCTACTCTCAACCCTACTAAAAACCCTAAGAATGATCCTCCCCACAATTCTTGCCATAGCCACTACCTGCTAAAACAAGAAAGGTTGTCTATTTTTCTCCTGCTCACTGAGGAAAGGAACTGTCACAGCTTCTTCCCAGCCCTCACCATAAAGCCTGCCTGATAACTTGCTTGGAAATTTAAATCATAGGAAACTATACATACATCGTTTACTCATCTGTTCTTTCCACAAATATTGCCCAACTACTGTATGCTGAGCCCCTTCTTTCTGTTCTCCTTTTCTGACCATCTTGTAGTCCCCCTCCCATGATACCTTTTATGATAATGTAATGTAGTATAACTTCCTGTCTCTACTGATAGACTGCAAGTCCTCTGAGGTCAGAGACCTTATGTCTTTCTTGCTTCTCCACTGGTTTTCCAGTTCCTAGGTACTTACTATATATGTCCCTTAGTTAACACTCAAGATCTATTGAATGAATACTTGGGATGTTTTAAGAGAAATGAGCTCAAAATTCTATTTTGGACTTCCAGGATCAAAGCTCCCTAGAAGCAAATTTAGGAGGCCCATCCCCATTCCCTATCCTGAGCATAGCCGTAGGGCACTAGATGGGGCCTGCAGCCATATTCTGAGGAGCCTGTAGTAGCAGTGGGTGGGGTGAAAAGGATGTTTCTAGGAGCTCTAAGGAGAGGGGTGGGGCTTAGTATCCATTGTGACCACCTCCTTTCCCCAAAGGCCACAACTAGTCCTGAGTCTGTCCTACTCTCAACCCTACTAAAAACCCTAAGAATGATCCTCCCCACAATTCTTGCCATAGCCACTACCTGCTAAAACAAGAAAGGTTGTCTATTTTTCTCCTGCTCACTGAGGAAAGGAACTGTCACAGCTTCTTCCCTATCCACCTGTCCCTGCAACAAGCACATAGCCCTGTTACCATTCCCAGAAGGAAAGAGGTGGAGGTAGGGAAAAACATGATTTAAAATCCTTTTTTAAAATAGCCCAGAACACACTGTGGAATAAATGGTATAGAACCCCTATCCACTCCCCCAGCCTTCTTAGGGCTGTGTAGCCATGTAATCACCTTTGCCTCTCTGCTTCCAACAACTGCCATATCCAACCCATAACTCCTCCTGGATTCTGTTTCCTGTACCTGCATGAGGAATTCTCCCTCTTATAAACGCCACCTCTTCCCTGTTATTTTCATTTATGCTCTGGGAAAAGATAAGGGTACACAGTGATGAGGGGATAGAACAGTTTGTACAAAAAAGGACTGAAATTCAATCCAATGATTTCAGTTTCACTAATGTTTATGGAGCACTTATTCTATGCCTGGCACCATACTAGGCTGTGAGGCGACTGAGATGAGTAAAAACAGGACCCAGCCTTCAAAAAGCTCATATGCTGCTGAGAACAGTGAATTAATTAAACAATCTGTCCTTTCATTCATTCAACAAATCTTTGAGAGCCAGTATACCAGGTACTAGAGATACCACAGGAAAGAAGAAAAACATTGTCAAACCTTCAAGGGGATTTTTACATTCCAGTAGGAGAGACAGATAAATATACAAAATGATTTCAGGTTGTGAAAAGGACTATTAAGTAAATAAATGTTTATTTAACTGAGGCTCAGAAATGGGTGAGCCTATGTTAAATGTCTTTGTAAAAGCCCCTCTGGAATGTTTATTCAGAGGGCTTCACATGCCTTCATTTTTTACATGCCTTGACAACTATTCACATGCCTTCACACAGCATGAGAAGAGTCCAGGAAAGTGCATTTCAGGGACAGAGAAGAGCAGTGCAAAGGCCCTGAGATGGGAAGGACCTTGGCTTTTCCCAGGAACTGCCAGCCTAAGGCCAATGCGGTCAACATGTAGTTGGGCACAGGGGATAGCAGATGCACTGACTTGGAGAGACAGGCAGGGCCAGATCTTGCAGGACACCATGGGGTTAGGTCATGCTACATGTAACAAGTCCTTGTGGAGGGTTTTAAGAGGAGGGACATGCTACTATTTGAATGTCTGAAGGTCACTTTGGCTGCTGTGTGCAAGGCAGAATGAAGGGCGGGGGCAGTCGTCCAGGCAAGAGGGGATGGTGGCTTGGACAAGGGTAGTGGCCCTGGAGGTGGAGGGAAGTGGATGGATTCTGCAGGTTTTGGAAAGAGAGACAACATGGCTTGGCAGAAAAAAGAGGAATTGAGGATTGCTATCATGCTAATATAGGGAGATCACTGCCATTCCTGGGGGCAGTCATAGTGCCTGGGGATGGCATATGATGTAAGTCTCAGGCTGAGTTTTAAAAGCTGTGGAAGTAGGCAAGGCAGCTGAAGGTGAAGGGGACACATTTCAGAGGAAAACTCTTAAGTAATTTTTCTTCCCCAAATATGTTCTCCCTAGCAAGGCTTTGGCTGGCAGCAAGATGAGGCTTTGCCTATATGAAAGGAGACATTATCCATGCAGCAAGGCCACTACCATTGGGGGCTTACCAATCCTCCCCTGTTCTGCTCCACCTCCCACATACCCAGCACTGAAGTCCACCCAAGACAAACTGTGATTGGGCCCCACAACATGGTGAAAAGCAGACTGGGTGACAAGGGGTGTCCAGCAGTGGTGGGACTGGCTGCAGATGGATGGAAAATATGGAGCACCAGCAGTTTTAAGAAAACATTTCTCGTAGGTTGGGGAGGCAGCTTCTCCAAGGGATGCCATCTGCCTAAGGTGTGCCGGAACACCTTAGCGAAGTGTATAAATCAGAGCCTGACAGATAGAAGAGACCAAGAGGAGAAACCACAGCTGCCGGAAGCCCACCTTCATCCACACAGTTTCCATCCTCCCCACTTCCACCTAAAAGATGGCAGAACCGCCTTTCCCTCTCTTCCCTATATGCCTTAACACCCTTCTGAGGCTCTCCATCATTCACTCAGAGAAGGCCAGGCTCTGCAGCTGTCGGGCCTCATCACTTCCCAGTACACCTCCCTGGAATCTGAATCTCAAAATGCTATCACTCAGAGCCTCAGCAGTAACAGTGGCCCTCTGCCTACAAACTGACCAGTACCCCCGCCTGGCAAAATCCTACTCCATCCCTAAGTCCCAGATCACAGGAACCCAGTCCTGGGAGGACTTCCACCAACACCCACCCAGCCCCAGCAATGCTAGGCAGACTTCCCCTCACCCACCAACTATCCCAGGCAGTGTAACAAGTTGTAAAACTGGTAGCCTGTGGGGTGTTTCTTAAATCTGTAGTAGTTTAAAATGTTTTAAAATCATTGCTAACATTTTAAAACTGGGTGATTTCAAGTGGGGCTTTGCTTGAAAATTTTAGTCTTGCAATACTATATTTTCTTGTTCAAGTACTTTTATGGTTTCATTTTTTTATGTTTAAATCTCTTTCCTATCAGAAATCTGTTTTGGTGCAATGAATGAAGGATTTTTCACCTCACATGACTAACATGCTGTATTTTAGACACAAAACTTCAACAATTCCAGTTTCTAGGTTTTTGATCTCATTGTTAAAATCTCATTTTTAAATAACACATTAGCTGTTTGGACACTGAAAGTCCAGAGCTAGTGGGAAATCATATTCTTCCTTCAGCTTCAGACAGTAAAACATTAACCAGAATGAAGTTTTCCCAGGCTGGTAGCTCTACTATTTTGCCAAACCCTAAGGCTTCTGATGATAGCACTTGAGTGGAGACAAGGTCACCTTGGCCAGCATGATTGCAGCAAAGGAAGAATGAGGTTGAAACCTCAGAATTGGTCATCAGAATTGTATTTCACCACAGTCTCCACAGAGGGTCAGACTTTTCCAGTGAGAAAGTCTGCCTTTGTCCCTTGTCTTATGGTATAATGTGTACCCTTGGCCCACTTCTCACAATAAAGGCTAGCCTTGGATGAGCTCATCCTTTCCCAGGGCTTCAGTAAGCATGTCGGTGCATATGACTCACAAACGCTCAACTCCAGTCTTCTTGCAACTACTAAGCTCCACAGCTGCACTTGCAGCTGCCCAGTCACTCCTAGGTGGATATTTGACAGGCACCTTAAAATCAACACATCCTAGTCCCGACTTCTTATCCCCAAACGACTTCTCCTTTGGTTTCTAATCTCAATAATCAACAATATTCTTCTAGTTACTCAGTCTTGAAATCACTATCATCCCCAAAATGTCCTCAGGTCCACTTTCCTTTTCTGCTCCACTTTCCCTTATCGTAGTTAAGGCCTGGTTTGGATTGTAATACATATCTAACAGCTGTGTCCCATTTCAACCTCCTCCAAGCTCAAGGAGCTTATAGTGTTGGTGGGGGAGGGGGGGAGGGGGGAGGGGGGGATATGACACACTTATAATCCAGCTGTGGTTTATGAACATATACGAGTCTAGGTTACTTTGCTTAATCTAGAGCACAAAAAAAAGAATGATCAGCACCCTAACCATATCCTTTGTACTTCTGCTCTCAGGTTCTCCCAAAGATGACATCACATGTGGTAAACGAGATTGATAACATATTGCGCAACAAGCCCTACAGCAAAAAGGACTATAGATCATAAGGCAATGCATGAATCACAGAAGCTGCATGGTTAAAATAGCGGCCTGTGCCCAGTTCAGAAAGATGTTATTAACCAGTCTTTTGAATCACTTAGCAGCTTGCTGCTCAACCTCTAGTGACCCTCCCTGGATTCTTTGAGGTGTCTGCTGTCGCTACCACTGTGCACATCTGAAAACTCACAACCAGGAAAATCCATTCTATTTTCTTATCTTGAACTGGAGTCACCTATTCTTGCATTGCTCTATACACTTCAGGCTTATGCAATGGAAAGAATATGGGGCTGGGAGGTGATGTATTACCTTCAGGCATTTGGTAACTCAAAGAAGGCTGTACAGATATATTTTTTCAAAAGAACAAAATCAACAGATGCAATGTGAGTTGCATAAGAAACAGAGTAGACTATCTTCACTCAAATCCTTGCTTGGAAGAATAAGCAGAAACAATTTTATTTTTCCTATTTTCACATTCATATTAACAAGTTTTGTTCCATTTGTCATACAACAAAACAAAAATTTCTAGGTATTTGCTTTATTACCTTTCAAATATTTACTGTGCTTGGCCCCAAGAATGGCCTTGTACAACTTATCCAGAATGTCTATTAGGATTTTAATGTTATGTCCACTTACAAGTAGAGACAGTAAAAGGATGAACACCCCAATCTTTAGGGACACTACAGCTGATTTATAAAAGAGAGGGTAACACTGCTGTGGAAACTTAGCTTTGAAGAAAATGCAGTGTATCTGCAATTAGGTGTTCACTTTTTATGTTTTATTAAAACCTGCTTTATATTTTCAACTGCTTATAGGCACAACTTCTGCAAGTTTAAATATCTGAGCTTTAAAAGTAAACATACACATGGCTCAGTTTTGAAGTAAACCTGTAAAATACCCAGAAAGACAAATGTTCACTGTTTGTTTAATTCGCACTGGGATTTTACAATATAATATTTGGTATTTTTAAGGTGATGTTAACATGAAAGTCAATCACTGGCTTTGTGAAAAATGCCATCACTATTCAGAATATGCTGGGTAAATTAACTTGCCTATGAAAAGAAAAACATTAAAGAACTTCTAGTTCTATAATAATATTATATGCACTAAACTATATGCATGAAAGTTCTCTGCATGGATTAATGGGGCTTACCCTTGTTACACTCAAAATCTGAGGTATACCTAGCCTTGCCACTATTGGCTACTTACCCTCATTAATGTCCCACTTGAGAAAAACTGTGAGAATATACTGTGTTGGTATCTGTAAAAAGAGAGAAAAACATGTTTTTTTTTTTTGAAGGGGGTGGTGTGGGAGTGGCCCTTTAACTCTATTTGGATATCTGAGGATGTACAAAATTCTAATTTTCTGATGAGCAAGTTTTCCATACAGAAGTCACTTTGAGGTTTACAGAAGAAATATAACATCATTTAAAAATGCTATTTTCTGTCATTATTTCTATATATGTACTTCATGGTTAAGTTCTAAATCTGAAAATGTTAGTGGGAGATATCAAGAAATTTTTTTTGATTACTAGTACCTGTATTCTAATAGAGAGTTTGAATTTTCTGCCCGAGTATCAGAATAATGATGGAAATTAATGAATTTTTTTAGTTGTTCATTGTGTATTCAATCCAGTGAACTACTGTATGTGTAAAGGAGCTGAGGTGCTAATGGGAAATGTGATTTGTTTGCTTAGAGTAATAAAAGCATTCTGTGCATTCAATCTCATAATAGATTTTATCTGATCTTTCATAAGGCATATGTATATTTTCCATATATGTAAAACATACACATGTAAAATATATGTGGCCATAAAATAGGCAATAATCATCTAAATAAAAATTACATTGGCAGCTAAGCTGCAATGAATACTCAACAGAAATAGTAGTAATCAAAAGTCTGAGATTTAAATTGCAATTCAAACATTTTCTATCAGTGGAGATTACTGATGATAGTTCTCAATGGGTTTTAGAACACCCTGCACTAAGGTTAAGGCGTCACAAATTCACTTTTTAAAGCTTGCAAATCAAAACCAAATATAAACATTATGGCTTAGCTGTAGGAACAGCCAGTTTTTATATGTGAATCTGTCATGGTAAATATACTAGATAATGTATTTTACAGTTATGTCCTTTAAAAAAATTTCCATGCACTCTAATTTTCTTTTCTCCTCTGAAAAGAATTCCTTGGCAGAGAATATATCATTCCAAAAGGTAACCTGGGTAGCAGCCATCCCTATATGGAAATCTCAGGCAACCTAGAAACCCTGTGTCTGGCTTCCCACTTTAAGAACTGTCATTTCATGAAGAGAGTGCCAAAGTCATGAGGCAAATGTCAGAGCTTGAAGGAACCTTAGCTATTTGTAAGGCCACCCTTTTGACAAATGAGCAAAGCAGGCCTGGATAGATGAAAAACTTGCCCAAACTCACACTGCTAGTGCAGAACCAGGCCTAGAACCCAAGTATTTTGTGTTCTAGTTCAGTGTTCCTTTAGATTTTTTTTTCTCCTTTTAAGCTTTAAAGTTTTATGCAGAAATTGTGAGAATGTTTAAGTTAAAAAAATTATTAATCCAAACTTAGAAATCAAACAACAGGGAAAAAGTGAAGAGATGTTTTGAAAATTAATGAAGGCCACCAAGAAGTTAATCTCTATCTCCCTGAAAATCTAAACCAACCCCCCAAAACACCCTCCTAATCTTCCATTAATTCCTCTGCTTGGGAGTCCAAGGAAGTGAGAGAGAATCCCTTAGAGCTCTAATAGATAGATACATCTATAAATTGGACATAAATGTACACATATATATATCCTTGCTTCCATGAGTGACTGGCATGCACACTGAAAACAAAGAGGGGAGGCAGAAAGGTGCAGCAGGTACATATTGGCAGAGGCCTGGTGTCTGCTCTTTACTGTATCTGCTCTATGCTTTTCGTTGCCTCAAAGATATCTGATCAGTAACTACAAAGATATGCATTTACATGTGTGAGCTATTAAAATGATGGTTATATGTATACTTATGTAACAAACCTGCACATGTATCCCCAAACTTAAATTTAAAAAAATAAATTTGAAAACAAGATGGTTAATGTGAAATAATGTAATAAAGATTATGTACTTAATCACAGAATTCTTATAAAATACAGATTTTAAAAAGCAAAATTTAATCATACTTATTAAATAAGACTTTTTACAAGAATTCAGTATAAATTCAACCTCTGTATTTCAGTTAACTTCAAACCTTGTTTCAAAGTATCCTTTCTAAATTTCAATAATATGCCAAATAGGACAACCAGTAAAGTTTTATTGGTTAAGAATTTCAATCCAAGATTTTTATTAAGTTGTAAATGAAAGAACTAAAAATAGGTAAATGAAAATGTTTTAACACTTTAAAGTGCTCCTTATGAGTATAAACAAAGGAATTTAATCCCTTTGAATCCCAATTACAGATGAATCTTTTATTTCACAAGTATTGGTTATGTGGTCTTTTTAAGACAAAAATTCTATAGCATGGTTTTACTATCTAAATCAGATTTAGATAGTAGGTCACCTCTCTGTGTGCCACACAGAACTTTTAAATGATGAGAGTAGTGGGGAAAATGTTCTGTGATTCCTGACAGTAAAGTATTCATACAGTAAATCCTCAACAAAAACTACCGAACTGCGAGTATAGGCCTTATAACCTTATGCACAGAAATTCATCTAATAATATAGAAAGTTGGAAAATATCAGATTTAAAAACAGTGTGCTGTAAGAAAAATTCAGGACAGGAAACAAATTTTGCTCACTCCTTTTCCTACATATGTTCAGTTTATTAATTCAAGATAAAGTACATTAGTAATATTAGGCTGAAACCCCTATTTCACCACCTCATCTAAGCTACGCTGTATTATACCAAGAATGGTGGTGATTTTTTCCCCATCCATATAGGCACTGCCATCTAGAGGCAAGTTTTAACCAGCAATTTTAAAAGATACTGGCCCAGCTCTGCTAACAAATAGTATACTCTGATGTCAAATAAGCAAATGCATTTATTTGATACACAAATTCCATGCCATCACTGGAACTATGGTCCAGCTTTGTTTTTTTTTTTTAAAGAAAAGCTTTTCTTGTTTGTTTGTTTGTTTTTTGAGATGGAGTCTCGCCCTTGTCACCCAGGCTGGAGTGCAGAGGGGCAATCTCTACTCACTGCAACCTTCGCCTCCCGGGTTCAAGTAGTTCTCCTGCCTCAGCCTCCTGAGTAGTGAGATTACAGGCGCCCACCACCATGCCAGCTAATTTTTGGATTTTTAATAGAGACAGGGTTTCACCATGTTGGCCATGGGTTCAAGAAAAATTTCTTTAAAAAATAACAAACCTCTTAACTGTTACCCTAAGCATACCTGACAGTAAATCTGACTTCTGTAGTCATTCCACATTACCCAGTGATGGCACCTATATAATAATGCACCAAAGAAAAGTAAAGAATTGCCAACTTCTAGAAGCAATGATGACATAGAATTCTCACCTGCAGAAAATGATGATCTGGGTCACTAAGCAAATGTATTCCTGCCCCTGTTTTCCTTCCAAGTTCTTGGATGCAGCCCAACACATCCGATAGCACAGAAGTGGAAGTTAAACTCCTGATGAATAATTTATAAAATTATAAAGAAAACTAATAACACTTATGAAATTCATGTAAATTTAGAATAGAATACTAAGGATTAGGACTATATTTTCTTTGAGATGCTGCTTGTGGGAAATTACTGAACTGCTATCATGGGTGATTTCACATCTTTTTAGGTGATTTTGTTAAAGAGCTTCTCAAACTTTTTCAAGCCATGGCACACACAAGAATGACATCTGTACATACACAGGTAAAAAAAAAAAATGCAAGAGATTGCTCTTAGCTGGACCCCCAAGGGCTGAAGAGATAAATATTTTGTTCACAATCAGTGGAAACCTGTGAACTAAAGAGTCAAATGTATGAAAGTTCTCATGGAAAAGTGCTGACAAGCACTAAAATCACTGTAAATTTCTTGGAGAGTTCTAAGAACTGCAGAAGTTCAGAAAAATTACTTTGGTCTTTTACATGTAAATATTCAGGAAAAGGGTTCTCTCTCTTACTTAACATTCCTCCAGGGTGTGAGACCCTGGTCAAAGAAAACAATGACTCCTGTGTCTTAATAGGTCAAACCCACATGGCAGGGTCAAGTTGACCTCTCTTGCCACTCAGGGCCAAAGCCATACAGCAGAACAGTGTGTTCTTTAACCCTGTAGGACAACTCTCATATGCCTGGGCACTATTTTTAGGTTACTAACTTGGCTGCCCTTCTTCTTTGAAAAATAAAAATAAAAACACACACACACACACACACAGAACTTTTCCAAAAGTTTCTCTTCCTCAAGTTGGAGAAATTATGTTTTTTCATTTTGTTATTTCAAATCACAAATTCAAACACTTGTAAACATTAAGCTTCTGTTCCATCCCCTGGGAAGAGGATTCAATCTGGTATTTACAGTTCAAAAAAAGTTGTAATATTGTGCTTGGAACACAGAGAACCAGTTATTAACTTCCTGCTACTATTATATAATAAATAATAACAGCTCAGCCCAGGTTACTGTGACCTCTGACAGATCAAGGAAACAAGTTATTTTCTCCTCTTGTGATTACAGCACATTGCAAGACATTTTATTCCTTTTAATAAACATCCTGGTACTCTGAGTTTCCCTTTCAATTCATTTAATTTCAACAATCTGTCAAAAACAGCCAATAAACAAATACTGAATTACATTCTGTTGGGTTTTTTAAAGGCTCTAGACTATAAAAACATCTTGTGTGTCTCCCACCCTGACCACCCTGCTACTTTTCCATATACCACAGGCCACCCATAGACACAAAGCCAGGGGGCAAGCGGACATGGTCTACTTGGAGCCAGTAGACAGGAGGGCGATGAGTCCTGATGAAGCACTTATGGACAAAATGTAGTTCCTGTGAGAATTTAATGTTATGGAAAAGTTAATGACACCAAATTAGTTTTTCGACAAAATAAAAAGAACCCATCTCTTTGGAATGTACTGCTTCCTTCCTGACACTTGCTATAATCATGATGATGTGCAGCCCCATTGTCTGCAAACACAATTTGCAAGACAGAAGACCATAAAAAATGGAAAACATTCACAGGAAATGTGTTCCAATTAAAAAAAAACACTTAAAGACAGAAACCTAGAACACATGATCACAAAGAATACATCTGAATTCCATTTAACCTCCATGAAAAGAGCTGATCAAAGAATATGAGGAGAAAAGAAGGACTTGTTTTTTCCCTGAAGAGCAATGGAAAAATAAGTCTTTCCTGTGAATCAGTGCTTTGCTGCAGTTGGCTTGCAACGGCAAGGAAGTTCTAAAAGTTCGAAGCCACTCCCAGTCTCAGAACTGTACAATTTTCAGCAAACCACTCCAGATTCCCAGAAGGTACACATTGGAGGGTATCTGATATTTTATTACATCATAATTACCAACTGTTAAAATGTTGGCTGCACATTCCTGGATAACACCTTTAATAAATTAATAAAAGAAGACTGATTCTTGCCCAAAAGTTCAATTTAAGAGCAGCTTGAAACACTATTAAGATACACTGGAATGAACCTATTTAACTGCACTGGCCGTCCACCCAACCCCCCGAGCCCAAAAATAACAGTAGACACGGGCTTATTATTTCAGAAGCTATCAAAAATGACAAGTTTGCTTTGGCTCT